CCCTGTGACGACCGTTGTGTAGCTGAGTTGTCAACCCAAGAAGCGTCTGCGTGACCACTGAGGACAACTGGACCCCGTCCCCCAAGCACGAGCCCCATGCCCGACGTACTACACAAGTAACGCAGTACCCTCTTCGCAGCATCCCAGTGCACCTTTCGATGCCTACCGGGAGCCACATAGCGAGCCAAGAGGCTGAGAGGGTACGCGAGGTCAGGTCGAGTGCACGTCATCAGGTACATGAGGCATCCCACAAGCTCTGGGTACGGACCACTCGGCTCTACGGACTCGTCTGAAGGTGGAGTTGAGAGCGAGTGGCCGGTAGACAGAGGAGTGGGCTGTGGCAAGAGGAGTGGGGAAGGAACACGGCGAAGATAGTCTCGGCGAAGCACCAGTAGGACCTCCAGACGAAGCAGCACCCCCAGGCTCAACACCCTCAGGCTCAGCACCCCCAGGCTCCTCACCCCCATGCTCAGCACCCCCAGACCCAGCACCCTCAGACTCCGCACCCCCCCGGCTCCGCACCCCAAGACAATGCAACCCCCGGACGCAGCACCTCGAGCAGCACCTGAGCCGATAGCTACCTCAACAGGCGCAGTACCACGGAGAGGGTCTACCTGAGTCACACCTGGGGGAGCAGGACGCTGGGGTGGGAGGGGGTCTACCGGAGGTGGACCGGGAGCAAGGAAGAGCGGCGGGGGCGGGGGAGGGGCAGAGAGGTAGGGGAAGAGATGGTAAATGGGAACTGACTCGTCAAACGTGACGTCCTGCGCCGGTAGACACGGCGCGAGGTGGGGTGGTAAAACTGCCAGCCAGGCGCGTCAGGGACAAAGCCAAGGAAGACGCAGGGGATAGCACGGGCGGAGAACTTGTCCGCGGACGTATTGCGAACAAATGCACGAGAACCCCAGACCCGGAACACCGACGCATCGCCAACCTCCCCCGTCCAACGCAGTGTGGGCAAGGTCTCTGGCAAGGAGACACGGGGCCAGAGGTTGAGCTGATGCGCAGTGTACCAGACCGCAAACGGCCACAGAAAATGGGGAGCAACCGCATGGATCATGGAGGTACGAGCAACCTCCATGACTAAGCCAATGCGGCGCTCAGCAATCCCATTTTGCTGAGGGGAGTCCGGAAGCGTGAACGACTGGAGAATGCCCTCCCCACGACAAAAGTCCCGCAAGATGTTTGGGGAGAACTCACCACCTCTGTCAGAGTGCAGACGCAGGACAGGAAGGTCCTGGTGGAACCGCTCGCGGAGCTGGAGACGGACTGCGCGGATCCAAGGGATCAAGACATCAACGACCTCACCCTTGCTGCGCAAGGGGAAGACCGTGGTGTACCGCGTGTAGTCGTCAACGACCAGCAAAAAGTAGCGCTCGCGGCCCTGTACACTGACGCGGGATGGGCCCCACACGTCCATGTGGAGAGTCTGCAGGGGAGAAGTCGTCGGGGGAAACGAGGAGGAGTGAGGAGCGGCGCGCTGCCGCCCCTCAACGCAAGGAAGGCAGGGCGGAGCAGGCGAGGGCGGGAGGGGAGGCAGAGACCTAGGAAGACCAGAGACAAGGAGGCGGGAGTGCATGCCACCCAGGCGTGACAGGGAGGGGTGACCAAGGCGGTGGTGCCACAGGAGAGTCTGGTGCGACAGGAGGCGACACGAGCAAGGGGGTACTACCGGACCTGACGGCGGACACCTGAGCAGACGCAGCTATCTGAGGAGGCTTGGTAGCCAGTGTGTACAGACTCGACCCTGGCCGACGTGTGAACGTGGCAAGGTGACGACCCGTCCGTGTACACGTGTAGATCGACACACGCTGACCCCCATGAGTGGTGGTAGTGACCATCGAATCCTGGAGAGCCGCGGTACTCACCAAGTTCGTAGAGAACGAGAGGAGGTGAAGACCTGACAGTGAGCCGGACGTAACCGCCAGACAAGGGAGAACAGTGGAGGAATGGGCAACGACCGGGCCCCCAGAGGGATCAGCCAGTCGGACCGGGACCGGTGCAGGGAGAGGAGTGAGGGTGGTGCTGTCACGAAAGAAACAGCGTGAGGCACCTGAGTCTAGCGTGAAAGTGTGCAAGGCCTCAGCAGGCACAGTACCATGGAGAGAAGACTCACTAGCACCTATAGCAGCAGCCTCTATACCTTGGTCAGTCGGCACACACCGGTAACAGTTACCCTCAGCACTAGCAGTCAAAGCATACATAGCAGAAAGGATAACGTCATAGTCTAGAGCAAAGACATCCACACCCTGTCTGATCAGCTCTAGCCAGAGCGGAAGCTCAGCAGCGTCGCTAAACTCTCCACGCCAGGTGTCACCCAGACAGGAGAAGCAGCGGGACTGTGTGTGACCAGCTGTCCCGCAAGTCTGATCAGCCCGATCACCTGTGCGAATGACGTACGGGCAGCGAGCACTACTCCGTGACGTCCCACGCTGTACGTACCACTCACAAAGTTACTGAGGTGTAAGGGTCTCGCGCGGACTCCGCTGCAGCTGCGCCAGGCCACCGCCAGAAACTCCCAACTGAACAGCTGCACATCGACCGCCACTACTGCCGCCGCCACCACCCCTACGAGCGTACCACTCACGTAGCTGCTGGGGTGAAAGGGGGTCGTGCTGACGCCGCTGCAGCTGCAGCTGGCCACCGCTAGAAACTCCCCACCGAACATCTCCACAGCGACTGCTAGTACGGCCGCCACCACCCCAACTGCTGCCAACATGTCCGTCACCACTCTCACTGCTGCTACGAAGAGGAGTCATAGCGGTCAAGCACGGTGGTGCGCGACCAGTAGGGCAGCAAGGAGCGGCAAGCGGGCCTAGGGGCGGCGAGCGGGTCAGCAAGGGCGGCTCGCGGGCTGCAGAGGCGAGGGGCGAGGGGCAGCAAAGGCCCCGGGAAACGGGCCGGGGTTTTAGGGGCGACGGGCGACGGGCCGGGGCTAGAGGGGACGGGCCGCGGGGCCAGGAGCGACGGGCCGAGGGGCCGGGAGCGACCGGCCAGGGGCCTAGGGGCTACGGGCCGCGGGGCCAGGAGTGACGGGCCGAGGGCCTAGGGGCGACGGGCCACGGGGCATAGGGGCATCGGGCCGCGGGGCCAGGGGCTACGGGCCGGGGCTAGGGGGGACGGGCCGCGGGGCCAGGAACGAAGGGCCGAGGGGCCAGGAGCGACGGGCCGGGGGCCTAAGGGCGACGGGCCGTGGGCCGAGGGGCGACGGGCTGGGGGCCTAGGGGCGACGGGCCGTGGGGCCAAGATCGACGGGTCGGGGGGGGGCCAAGGTGTGATGGGCCGCGGGGCCTAGGGGTGACGGGCTGGGGGCCTAGGGTCGACGGGCTGTGGGGCCTATGGGCGACGGGTCGGCCTAGGAGCGACGGGCCTAGGGGCGCGGGCCTAGGGGCGTCTGGCGACGGGCCGGGGTGTAGGGAGGTTGGGCGACGGGCCGGGGCTAGGGGCGACTAGCGCGGGCCTAGGGGCGTCGGGCGACGGGCCGGGGCGTAGGGGCGACTAGCGCGGGCGTAGGGGCATCGGGCGGCGGGCCTGGTCGCGTGGGTTAGGGGCGACGGGCTGGGCTAGGGGCAACGGGCCTACGGGCCGGGCTAGGGGCTGCGTTAGTCGCGGGCGTAGGGGTGTCGCGCGACGGGCCGGGTCGCGTGGGTTAGGGGCGACGGGCCGGGCTAGGGGCGACGGGCCGGCCTAGGGGCGACGAGTCGACGGGCGACGCCTAGGGGCGACGGGCTGGGGCGACGGGCTGGGGCGACGGGCCTAGGGGCGACGGGCCGGGCTAGGGGTGGCGACGGGCCGGCTTAGGGGCGACGGGTCAGGGCGACGGGCCTAGGGCGACGGGCCTAGGAGCCGGGGCGACGAGCCCAGGGCGACGGGCCGGGTGTCGACGGGCCGGGGCGACGGGCCAAGGGGCGACGGGCTACGAGCCCGTGCCTAGGGGCCTACGAGTCGCGATACGCAGTAGGGGCAGCACGAGGGCTGCAGAGGGCTGCTAGCAGGGTAGCGCTGTGGTGGGCCCAAGGAAAAAAAACGGTCCTAGCGGAGGACCTGCTTTGAAACCATGTTAGAAGAACGAACGAGAATGAATGAACTATGAAACAGTTGGGTACAAGTACTAAACCTAATTGGGTTGTACCCCTTATGGGCTTACTCCACTATAGCCTACACAAATGTAAGCACTATAATGTTATGACAAGGTATATATAAACACATCTAATTACATTTTCATGACAACAACCCAATATACTTCCTATTTTTTTGTAAGCACACCCGTCCTCATCTCTCGACTATGGTTGTATTTTTCGTCATATGCGATAGGATTAGAAGCGATGTTTTATCGTATGCATAGATATGTGAATCCACTGATCATGCAATCTTTGCATCAAGGAAAAAATAAATATATTGATGGTTTGACAAGAATTGATGTATAACATGTCTTTCGTATGTCGTTCAAATGTAGCATTGACGCTCATGTATACTTTATTATAAGTGAGACTACAGTTTCTATTACAAACACCAAATCCTCTTTTTATCAGAGCTTCGCAAACCCTCCTGACTAGTGGGAAATAACGCACCAACTTCTACACGAAGCACTTGGCTGCCGAGCCTGGTATTCTCCCCCTAGGCTGCGCCGGACCTGTCATTCACCCCTCGATCTGCCTGCGTATGCCAAACAGGTTGACAGAACGCGTGTCACGAGATTGAATTATGCAGCTTTGTGAGTTTCGACCAATCTCGACTGTCCAGCAATGCACAATCAATCGTTCTTCAATTCAACCTGCAGCCGCCTAACCTGCACAAGTTCAACCCAACTTCCGATCAACTTGATTTCGGAGGTTGGTTGTTTTCCGATGTGATTAGTCGCCTAGGAGCCTCCCGCACGAATCAGCTGCGTGCGATCCGCGCTCACCTGAGAACTGCTGGGCTTCCGCGCGTTCCGCGTCGGCGTTCCGCTTCCGCCCGTTCCGCTTCCGTGGCGACGCAGCGCGATCGCAGTGCCAGCCATGGAGGGCCTCCTCGCGCAGCCTGCGCGCGTAACGCGGGTGGCCGTTCCCGCGTCCTCTCCGCTAGCATCCCCCGCCTTCATTTCCCTTACTCGATTTTCTGCAGCCGCTCACGGCCGGATAGCGGCGCGGCAGCGCAAGTCGCTTGCCGTTAGAGGTACGGAGAGGAGCGAACAGTTTCCGTGATCGTTGTGCGGCTTAGCGCGTACGCGCGCGGATGGTTAGGCGCTCGAGGCATGTGCGCTGTCAGCTTAGACGAGAGTATGGCAGGAATAGAAGTGAACGGCTGTTCATCCGCTTCGGTCGCTTCTTCGCGCCGTGTTTGTCACTGTTTTCGTCTTTCCTTCCGCCTCCTCCCTGCCTTATACCCGCCTCGATCTCCCTTGCGTTCTTGGCTGTTTGCCCCGCCTGATTGGCTGAGAGACAGCAACAGCGGCGGGCGATTCGAGTGGCGACGGCGACAATGTGGTAACCCTGCTGGACTACGGCGCGGGAAACGTGCGAAGCGTGCGAAACGCCATTCGCCTGTTGGGTTACGAGATCAACGACGTGAGTGGCGAGGATGGAATATCCTTACGTGCAGAGGGTTCTACTCTTCGGGTCTTCTGCTTCTGCGAGTGGGATGACGGCCGTAGGTTGGGCCCAAAATCACTCATTCCGGCAGCTCTGACCGGCTAAACCGACCGTCTCATTCCCGCGCATCCCTCACCTCCCCCATACCTCCGTCCTCCCCTTACCCACCCATTCTCCCGCTTTTTCCCCTGCCTACCTTCCCCGCCTCCCCCCGCGAATCCCCCCTCTCCCCACCAGGCGAACGAGCCGGAATACATCTTAGTGACAAGGAAGCTCAGCTTTTCCTCTGAACGAGCCAGAAGGCATCCTTGCAGTAAAAGTCCATCTCCTCTTCCCATCCTCCATCTCCTCTTCCCATCCTCCATCTCCTCTTCCCATCCTCCATCTCCTCTTCCCATCCTCTATCTCCTCTTCCCATCCTCCATCCTTTTCCCATCCTCCATCCTTTTCCCACCACCCATCCCCTTCGTCTCTCCCCCTCTCACATCCCCTACCCCCTACATCCGCCTGTTCCCTTCCCTTCCCCCCCCTTCCCCCCTCCCCCCCTGCTCCCAGGTGAGCTAGCCAGTCCTCCATCCTTTCCCCACCCTCCGCTCCCGCGCCTGCCCCTTTCCCTCTCTCCCCCTCCCCCCCCAGGTGAGCGAGCCAGACGACATCCTGGCAGCCAAGAAGCTCATCTTGCCATTCCCCTCCTTCACCGTCCGCTCACCCCTCTCATCCCCCACCTTCTCTTCTCCGCCTTCCTACCCCCTGCCCTCCACCAGGTGAGCGAGCCAGAGGACATCCTGGCAGCCAAGAAGCTCATCTTCCCGGGCGTGGGCGCGTTCAGGGCGGCCATGGACGTGCTGAATGAGAGAGGGTAAGGGGTGATGGGTCTCAATGAGAGAGGGTAAGGGGTGATGGGTCTCTTACAGGGTAAGGGGTGATGGCATGGGGGTGGGGTGATGACATGGCATGGGGTTGGGTTGATGACATGGCATGGGGGTGGGGTGATGACATGGCATGGGGTTGGGTTGATGACATGGCATGGGAGTGGGGTGATGACATGGCATGGGGTTGGGTTGATGACATGGCATGGGGTTGGGTTGATGACATGGCATGGGGGTTGGCCCATGCCATGTCATCCGCCAGTACGGCCCATGGCTGGCAGACGCCATCCGCCAGTACGTGGCGTTGGACCGCCCCTTCCTGGGCATCTGCCTGGGCTGCAGTTGCTCTTTCCCACTCCCACATTCCCCCTTCTCTCCCTCTCTGCCCTGTTCCCCCAGCCTGGCAGACGCCATTCGCCAGCACGTGGCGTTGGACCGCCCCTTCCTGGGCATCTGCCTGTGCCCTTCCCCCTCTTTCCATCCCCTTCCCCACCTCTTCGACGCCCCTCGTTACACTCCCGTCTTCACATGCCAGGCTGGCAGACGCCATCCGCCAGTACGTGGCGTTGGACCGCCCCTTCCTGGGCATCTGCCTGGGCCTGCAGCTGCTCTTTGACGGCAGCCAGGAGTTTGGCGATGGTGAGTGAGAGGGCATGGGGGCAGGGGGTATTGGGTGCATGGAAGATGGGTAGGTAACTGGTATCAGCCGTAGAATCGCCCCTTCCTGGGCATCTGCCTGGGCCTGCAGCTGCTGTTCGACGGCAGCCAGGGGTTTGGCGATGGTGAGATGGAGGGTGGAGTGGGGGAATGGGTGACGAATGGTGGGGGCATGGGGGATGTGACGGATGGAGGGGGCATGGGGGATGGGGAATGGGTAATAAGCGGGGTAGTGAGAAGAGGGAAGCCACAGCCCCATGTGCGCAGCGCTCCAACTGCTGCGTTGCGGGGGGGGAGGGGAAGGGGAGAAGATTGGCGCAATGGGAGGGGAGGTACGTAGGGGAAGATGGGAGGTACGTAAGGGAAGACGGGTGGTCCGAAGAGTGAAGCCACAGCCCTGTGCGTCGTGTGGCGCTGCAGCTGCTGTGTGAGGGAGAGGGGACGAGTGGGCAGGGAAGAGCACTGTAGCGGCGCCTAAAGAAACAGTGAACGTAAAGACCCATGTGCGTGGTGCTGACTTTCGAGTCCACTCCAAAGTTGCCCCATGTGCGTCGCGTGGCACTGCAGCTGCTGTCTTAGGGAGAGGGGACGAGGGGACAGGAGACGATTGAAGCAGTGGTAGGTAGGTAGGTAGGTAAGGTAGGTAAGGTAGCGCATGTTGTTCCTGCCATGCCCATGCCCCCCTTGCCATGCCCATGCCCCCCCTGCCATGCCCATGCCCCCCCTGCCATGCCCATGCCCCCCCTGCCATGCCCATGCCCCCCCTGCCATGCCCATGCCCCCCCTGCCATGCCCATGCCACCCCTGCCATGCCCATGCCACCCCTGCCATGCCCATGCCACCCCTGCCATGCCCATGCCACCCCTGCCATACCCCTTGCGCTGTATCATTCTGCACCCCTCACCTCACCGCCTGCACTCACTCACCCCCCTTCTCCCCTTCCTCGCCCTCTCCCCTCCTCGCCTCCTCCCCTCCTCCTCTTCCTCCTCCTCCTCCTCCTCCTCCTCCTCCTCCTCCTCCTCCTCCTCCTCCTCCTCCTCCTCCTCCTCCTCCTCCTCCTCCTCCTCCTCCTCCTCATCCTCCTCCTCCTCCTCCTCCTCCTCCTCCCCCTCCTCCTCCTCCTCCTCCTCCTCCTCCTCCTCCTCCTCCTCCTCCTCCTCCTCCTCCTCCTCCTCCTCCTCGCCTCCTCCCCTTTTCCCTTCTCCCACTCGCCACCTCTCCGGCCCCGTTCCTCAAGGGTCCCCCTTCCCCTACCCCCCTCTCTCTCCCCTTCCCCTACCCCCCTCTCTCTCCCCTTCCCCTACCCCCCTCTCTCTCCCCTTCCCCTACCCCCCTCTCTCTCCCCTTCCTCGCCTACCTGGCGCACCCCTTCCCTTCTCCCCGTGGAACGGCTGGGCATCATCCCCAGCACTGTGTCCCGATTCGATGCATCCAAGCGCCTTAACTCTCTCCTCTCCCCGTCTCCCCCCTTCCCCTCTCCTCCTCTCCTCCTCCTCCCTTACAGTGGAGGGATTGGGCATCATCCCAGGCACTGTGTCCCGATTCGATGCATCCAAGGGGCTCACTGTGCCACAGATCGGGTGGAACGGGCTGCAGATCGTGCAATCCGAGCCGTCCATTCTGGATGGCGTGAATGGGCGCCACGTGTACTTTGTGCACTCGTACCGAGCCACTCAGGTGCGCTGCAGCGTAGCCTAGAAACTCCTCAGGTGCGCCCGACCGAGGGCCCCGCCAGGGACTGTGCTGTGCTGTGCTGTGCTGTCTAGGAGGGATATTCAGGGTCGCAGTGCACTTCAGTGCAGTGCAGGCTAAGGGCTCGCTACGCTAAGCATCCTCTCTCCCCACATGCAGGCAGTGTTTCAGCCCTGCCTAGCGCATGCTTGTTGTGTCACTTGTGAGAATGCCCAAAGTTGACCCCCTCCCTCCTTTCCCCACATGAAAGCTGTGCGTCACCCCAGCCTAGTGAGCCTAAGACAGTTGGGTTCCACTCCCTCCCCTCCCCCTCACCGCCATAAACCCCGTCGCACCCCTCTCCACTCCCTTCCCCCCAGATCCCTGAGAACAGCGATTGGGTGCTGGCGACAGCAGAGACAAGCCGTACGGGCGGGCGGGCATGGCACTCACCTCACCGTACATGTATCCCCCCCTCCTCCCCCTCTCCCATCCCCCTCTCACATGGCTTACCCCCCCACCCCCCCCCCCAGCCCCTGACAACAGCGAGTGGGTGCTGGCGACGGCCAACTATGGCGAGCCGTATGTCCGCAGTGGTAGTACCTTCCACGTACCATATGTGTTGTACCATCCATGCATATAACCCTCCCTCCCCCCTCCCCCTCGCTTTCTTCTCAACCCCAGACCCCTGGGAACAGCGAGTGGGTGCTGGCGACGGCCAACTATGGCGAGCCGTACGTGGCGGCAGTGAGGAAGGGCAACGTGCAGGCCGTGCAATTCCACCCGGAGAAATCAGGAGGTGAGATGTGGGGGAGTTGAGGATGTGCATGCCAGTGAGCAGAGAGGGGGAGTGGGGATGCAGGAGATGAGTGAGCCGTACGTGGCGTGGCGCCAGTGAGGAAGGGCAACGTGCAGGCCGTGCATTTCCACCCGGAGAAGTCGGGCGGTGAGTGGTGCGGGGAGTGGACGGTGGGAAGAGGGGCGTGTAGAGTGCAGGGCAACGTGCAGTGAGTGAGAGGGTGAGAAAGGGCAATGTGCAGTGAGTGAGAGGGTGAGAAAGGGCAATGTGCAGTGAGTGAGAGGGTGAGAAAGGGCAACGTGCAGTGAGTGAGAGGGTGAGAAAGGGCAACGTGCAGTGAGTGAGAGGGTGAGAAAGGGCAACGTGCAGTGAGTGAGAGGGTGAGAAAGGGCAACGTGCAGCGAGTGAGAGGGTGAGAAAGGGCAACGTGCAGTGAGTGAGAGGGTGAGAAAGGGCAACGTGCAGTGAGTGAGAGGGTGAGAAAGGGCAACGTGCAGTGAGTGAGAGGGTGAGGAAGGGAAACGTGCAAGCTGTGCAGTTCCACCCTGGGAAGTCAGGCGGTGAGATGTGGAGAGGGGTGAGGCAGTCAAGGCAGGGGGGGGAGTAGTGGAAGTATGGTGCTTGCAGTTGGCAGGGCATCGTGCTCCTCCCTGCTGCATTCCGCACGCATTCTTGCGCCTCCTAACTCGCCCACATCTCTCATCCCAAGAACCAACCCTATGCGTTCACACTACTCATACGCCTAGCCACGCCCCGTGTGCGTGCATGCGCCCTCCCTGCTGCCTATGTCCCTTCCTGACACGCCCCTCATCCCCTTCCCCTCATCCCCTTCCCCTCATCCTTTCCCCGCATCCCCTTCCCCTCATCCTTTCCCCTCATCCCCGTCCCCTCATCCCCGTCCCCTCATCCCCTTCCCCTCATCCCCGTCCCCTCATCCCCTTCCCCTCATCCCCTTCCCCTCATCCCCGTCCCCTCATCCTGTTCCCCCATACCCCCGCCAGTGGTGGGCTTGGACATCCTGCGTCGCTTCCTCGGCCCCAACAGGAGCCAGCAGGCCAACGTGGGTACCTCTCTCCACCCTCTCTCCACCCTCTCTCCACCCTCTCTCCACCCTCACTCCACCCTCTCTCCACCCTCACTCCTACGTTGCCAAATACGCTCTGGGTAGGGTGGCGTACCACGTATATACGATTGCGTACGTACGTGGTACGCTAATACGCTTCGAATTCGTGAAAAAACGCGCGGGCAGCCCGGCGAAAAAAAAAATCGAAATTGAAAAAAAAATGCGACGGTTATTAGGGCTTCGCGACTGGTTACGCGACCAAGCACATCGCCCAACCCACGTCTGAAATTCAAATTTCAGAATCCAAACCTCCCACCACCCCAACCACACACCACCCCACCAAACCTCTCATATCCAACCACCCCTCTCAAATGTCCAGCACGTCATGTGAGCATTTACTCGTTGACGCCTTCCTATCCTTCATTCGTTTCTCTCCTCCTCAATTTCATTCCCGAGCTCTGATCTCCCGTTTTCCTCAAGCAGTTTACCGTTCCTTAGTCGCGCCCCATGGCGTCGAACTCCACCCCTCCTAGCGCGACGAGCAATGTAGCTTCTGGTCACGCGTCTAGTAGTGCGATCAACACGCAGCCTGTTGAGGCTGGCCTTTCGAACCCCATTCTGAAACATTTTCTTATTCCCCCCCACACCAAAGGCAATCCCAAGCTTTGTAAGTTTTGTGGCTTCAAGTTTCGGGACACAATAAGATTGAGTTGATATGGACTGGAGGGGAGTGGCGCAGGCATCAGACTGTTTCGGGAACCAGGTTCGGGACACAATACATAGCCATGGCCCGGCTATGTGAGGTGAGGAGTGGGCTGGCGGCGATGGTGCTCAGCGACGAGTGGAAGGTGTGGGCAACGGGGGACAAGGATCGGAAGACTGCAGCCGAGAAATTCAGGGCTGCTGTGATGGATGAGGAGTGGTGGGGGGTGGCGGAGTTCTTTTCCTCTCTCATGGCGGTGCCATTCAAGGCCATGCGGGCCACGGACTCTTCCGCGAAAGGCATGATGGGTAAGCTGTATGACATTATGCTACAGCTTACCGAGGACATCAATGACAAGCTCGACGCTTCAGGCGACTTCTTGACTCGGACAGAGAGGGCAGACATCACCAAGATTGTGAAGGACAGGTGGGACAACTCCCTTGCCTGCCCCATGCATGTGGTTGGCCGGATCCTGAATCCGGCCAACCAGGAGGAGGGAATTTTCAGGAACGATGTGGAGTGCACGAGGGTGTTCAAGGACTACATCGAGCGCCACTATGACCACGTCACCTTCAGGCGCGGCAAGGATGGTGCCCCTCGCCGCGCCTCCCTTGTGCTGCAGGAGGCATTGCTGGCCTACATCAACTTGGAGGGCAGTTTTGGCAAGCTGAGCGCCATAGCTGCAAGGGAGGCAGTGAAGAAAGGGGAGATGAGTATGGTGCAGTGGTGGTCGTGGCACAGCACCGAGTACCCTGAGCTTGCCACCCTCGCATGCCGGATTCTCACTCAGCCCGTCTCGGCTTCTTCATGCGAACGTGGCTGGGCGCAGTGGGAAGGCGTCCACACCGCCCGCCGCAACCGCCTCGGGTCCGCCAAGTGTGCGGACCTGGTTTACATTGCGCACAACTGGAACGTTGTGCGCAATTGGTACAACAAGGATGGGGCCAGCACGGTTGTGCCCGGGAACATCCCGGATGCCCCTATCCCCCGCGGCTACAACATGGACGAGGAGGAGGAGGATGACCTGCTGGGGGGGGAAGGAGATGATGCAGTGCTGGCGGATGAGTATGGGGAAGGGGTGGTGGTGGAAAAGCCCCGCAAGGAAATAGGCTGTGGGGAAGCTCGCTAGAGGGTGGGGATTATGTGGATGAACTATGTATTTCTGGATATTTATGAAATAAAATATTGACATGTGTTGTTGTCAGCCTGAACCCCCCCCCTGAAACAGGTTTTTGTATACCTGCCCGGGAAAAAAAGTTTTAGCTGCCCGCCAGCGTATTTTTGCGTATCAGCAGTACGCCAGCCTTGGCGTACCGCGTATATACCAAGCGTATAATACGCTAACGTATTATACTCGGTACTCGTATTTAGCAACGTAGCCTCACTCCACCCTCTCTCCACCCTCTCTCCACCCTCACTCCACCCTCACTCCACCCTCTCTCCACCCTCACTCCACCCTCTCTCCACCCTCTCTCCACCCTCACTCTCCTCCCTGCCCTCCTTGCCCTCTCTGCCCTCCCCGCCCTCCCTGCACTCCCTGCCCTCTCTGATTGCTTTGCTTGTGCTGGTGGAATTCAATCGCTCCTCGCTAAGCTGCCAGGCAGTCTGTCTCTACTTCAATCATTGTTCTCCTCCTACTTACTCCTTGGGCCTTCATGTGCCTCATTGCACTTATATCGTCACATTGGTTTGCACATGGGTTGATGTGATGTGATGTGAGCACAGCATGGCCGGGCACGGGCACGGGCACGGGCAGTAAGCCACATTCATCTGCATCACGCACCACGCCACGCCACCTCTCCCCCTCCCTCCACCTCATCTGGGGGGTTGGAGGTGGCGTGCAGTGCAGCAAGCCACTGGGGGGCAATGACTGACATGCCTTGTGTTGCCGTCACATGTTTAATGCTAACTTATTTCACATATTCGGTGCCGTGTTGTGTTCCATGCCACGTTCCGTTCGTTCACGTGTTCTATCACACCCCATTCCACCTCACTCTAACACCACGTGTTGTCACGCCATGCCAGGAGGTGGTAGACGCATGCAGCAAGGCCCTGAGAAGCCCTCGCGCAACACAGCTGGCGAAGCGCGTGATTAGGTTGCGCGTTTAATTTGCTCGCCAATGTCCGGGTCACTGGGGTACCTTGTGGTCACCAAGGGCCTACAGCACCTTGCCGCATGCCATATTCCCTTACATCACACCCTACTCCACCCCACCGCATCCCACCCCTTCTACCCCCACCAGGAGGTGGAAGAGGCGTGCAGCCAGCCGCTGAGGGGCCCTCGAGCCACGCAGCTAGCCAAGTGCGTGATTGCGTGTTTGGATTGGATGTGCGCGCCAAGCCAATGACCGGGGGGACCTGGTGCTGGTGGTCACCAAGGGGGACCAACACCTTGCCGCACTCCTCCTCACCGCACACCACCTCACCCCTCCCAACCCCACTAGGAGGTGGAGGAAGCATGCAGCAAGCCCCTGAGGGGCCCTCGAGCAACACAGCTGGCGAAGCGCGTGATCGCGTGCTTGGATGTGCGCGCTAACGACCGGGGGGACCTGGTGGTTACCAAGGGCGACCAGTATGACGTGCGGGAGCAGGGCGATGAGAGGGAGGTGAGGGGGACGAATTGGGGGAAGGTGATGGATGGGGCGAGGGTGCTTATGCAGTCGGTCGTGTGTACGCTCATGGGGACCTGGTGGTCACCAAGGGCGACTAGTACGACGTTCGGGAGCAGGGCGGTGAGAGGGAGGTGAAAAAATGGGCGCGAGGAGGGTGCTGTTGTGGGGACGGTGGAAGGTGGTAGCATGGCCTTGTGTGCGTGCTGATGGCAGCTGGTGATGACCAAGGGGGCGACCAGTACAGCGTACGGGCGTAGGGCGACGAGCGGGAGGTAAGAGGGAGGGGGAGTAAAGGGAGGGTGATGAGGCGAGGCGAGGGTAGTGAAGCAGCAGATGATGGCATGTCACACTGGTCTGTCGTGGTCACCAGTAGACTAGGGGTGATGAGGGACCAAGGGCGGCCAGTAGGGGTGATGAGGGACCAAGGGCGGCCAGTAGGGGTGATGAGGGACCAAGGGCGGCCAGTAGGGGTGATGAGGGACCAAGGGCGGCCAGTAGGGGTGATGAGGGACCAAGGGCGGCCAGTAGGGGTGATGAGTGACCAAGGGCGGCCAGTATGAATGAAAACCTTCTCAAGGTGGGGGCGGACAAGCCCAGCCCCCTGCAGTCCCTTACTCCCTAACTCTTGTACCCTCCCCCCACACACCCCAACCCGTCTCCCAACCACTGCTTGCCGTGCCACCAGGTGCGCAACCTGGGCAAGCCAGTGGAGCTGGCGGCACGGTATTTCAAGGAGGGGGCGGACGAGGTGGCGTTTCTCAACATCACGGGCTTCAGGGACTTCCCCCTGGGGGATCTGCCCATGCTCGAGGTGATAGGGGACTCGCCCACCCGCCAAGTGATAGGGGGGAGCTAGTTGCTGTGTTTGTGGGGGGCAATTCACCAGTGCTCCAGTTGACTGTCAGGGGGCTGATCTGCCTTGATTCACCAGTGCTCCAGTTGACTGTCAGGGGGCTGATCTGCCTTGATTCACCAGTGCTCCAGTTGACTGTCAGGGGGCTGATCTGCCTTGATTCACCAGTGCTCCAGTTGACTGTCAGGGGGCTGATGTGCCTTGATTCACCAGTGCTCCAGTTGACTGTCAGGGGGCTGATCTGCCTTGATTCACCAGTGCTCCAGTTGACTGTCAGGGGGCTGATCTGCCTTGATTCACCAGTGCTCCAGTTGACTGTCAGGGGGCTGATCTGCCTTGATTCACCAGTGCTCCAGTTGACTGTCAGGGGGCTGATCTGCCTTGATTCACCAGTGCTCCAGTTGACTGTCAGGGGGCTGATCTGCCTTGATTCACCAGTGCTCCAGTTGACTGTCAGGGGGCTGATCTGCCTTGATTCACCAGTGCTCCAGTTGACTGTCAGGGGGCTGATCTGCCTTGATTCACCAGTGCTCCAGTTGACTGTCAGGGGGCTGATCTGCCTTGATTCACCAGTGCTCCAGTTGACTGTCAGGGGGCTGATCTGCCTTGATTCACCAGTGCTCCAGTTGACTGTCAGGGGGCTGATCTGCCTTGATTCACCAGTGCTCCAGTTGACTGTCAGGGGGCTGATCTGCCTTGATTCACCAGTGCTCCAGTTGACTGTCAGGGGGCTGATCTGCCTTGATTCACCAGTGCTCCAGTTGACTGTCAGGGGGCTGATCTGCCTTGATTCACCAGTGCTCCAGTTGACTGTCAGGGGGCTGATCTGCCTTGATTCACCAGTGCTCCAGTTGACTGTCAGGGGGCTGATCTGCCTTGATTCACCAGTGCTCCAGTTGACTGTCAGGGGGCTGATCTGCCTTGATTCACCAGTGCTCCAGTTGACTGTCAGGGGGCTGATCTGCCTTGATTCACCAGTGCTCCAGTTGACTGTCAGGGGGCTGATCTGCCTTGATTCACCAGTGCTCCAGTTGACTGTCAGGGGGCTGATCTGCCTTGATTCACCAGTGCTGGAGGTTAGGATGGGATGTTAATAGCTGTGTGGGTGCGACCTGCCCATACTGGAGGTGACTGTTAGGGGGGCCGATAGTAGCTGTCTGTGTGTGTGTGTGTGCGGGACGATTCGCCCATGCCCAAAGTCCACCTGCAAGCAGTCCACCAAAAACAAGCAATAGAAAAACCTTGTTTCACAATTCCCTTGTTTCGTCATTCCATTGTCTCGCCATTTCCTGTCAAGAAATCTCACACCTGTCTTCTCCCTCCTCCATCCTCACCTCACTCTGTGGCAACGCCTTTCCTTGCTGTCATGTCCCACCCAGCAGCTTTCTTTTTATCTTCTCTTCCCCCTCTTCCATTTCTTCCATTCCTCACGTCTCCTATCCTCTCCCTTCCCCTCTTCTCCCTTCCGCTCTTCTCACTTCCCCTCTTCTCCCTTCCGCTCTTCTCACTTCCCCTCTTCTCCCTTCCGCTCTTCTCACTTCCCCTCTTCTCCCTTCCGCACTTCTCACTTCCCCTCTTCTCCCTTCCGCTCTTCTCACTTCCCCTCTTCTCCCTTCCGCTCTTCTCACTTCCCCTCTTCTCACTTCCCCTCTTCTCTCTTTCCTTCGCACCCATCGCCCATGTTCCCCACATGCTCTCTCCATTTCATGCGCTCCCCCCTTCCTTCTCCTCCCATCCTCCCTCCTCTCCCACGCCACCCCAGGTGATGAAGCGCGCATCAGAGAGGGTGTTTGTGCCGCTCACAGTGGGAGGCGGCATCAGAGACTTCACCTCCTCCCCTTTCCCATGTTCTCCCCATCCTTCATCTCCCCCACCTCCCCCTGCAACCCTCCACAGGTGATGAAGCGCGCATCAGAGAGGGTGTTTGTGCCGCTCACAGTGGGAGGCGGCATCAGAGACTTCACGGACGCCAATGGCAGGTGGGCCGTGGGACAGGTGGGGCACTGATGCTCGTGGTGGTGCTGCTCATGGCAGGTGGGCGGGGTGGGGCACTGGGGCTCGTGGTGGTGTGCTGGTGAGTCTGAGTTCAGTATTGGAACACCAACAGGTGGCTCACAGTGGGAGGAGGCATCAGAGGCTTCACCGACGCCAATGGCAGGTGGGCAGTGGGACAGGTGGGATGGCAGTTGGGTCGTGGGGTTGTGGCTGTGCATGGGTGGTGGGGCCATGGCAGGCGGGGAGTGGAGCGGTGGCAGGTGGGGCGGTGTGGAGTGGTGTTCTCAGTCTGGCAGCAACAAGACGCTGATTGAGTGCTGGATACTGGTTGGGGCCGGACAAGGTCCGCGCGCCTTCACACACTCCGTGCCGCCCTCTCCCCCTGCACTCCCGCCCCTCGTCCCACCTGTCCTGGCAGGCCGTACTCAGCGTTGCAGGTGGCGGCGGAGTATTTCCGGTCAGGGGCGGACAAGGTGTCCATCGGCAGCGAGGCGGTCTTTGCAGCGGAGGAGCTGCTTGCTTCCGGGGTGAGTCACTCGCACTGCTTGCCCTCCTTGCTCCTTTCTTGCCATGCCAGCATGCCTGCGGTGCGGCCCCGCATGAGTGGGGGCGGGCAAGGTGTCACTTGGCAGTGAGGCGGTGCTGCCTGCAGAGGTGCTGCCTGCAGAGGTGCTGCCTGCAGAGGTGCTGCCTGCAGAGGTGCTGCCTGCAGAGGTGCTGCCTGCAGAGGTACTGCTCTGCTCGCCACGGGGGTGAGTCACTCATGCCGCCCTCCCTGCTCGTTACTGGGGCGACTGCTGCCCTCCTTGCTTGCTCGCCAGGAAGGGTGCGTGAGTGGTGCGTCACTGCTGCTACTTGCCTGCTTGCTGGCTGTCTCCATACCTTCCCCCCCGGCTGCACTTCCTTCTGCCCACACCCCTCCATCACATCCTCCTCTCTCTGCATTTCTTCTGCCCCTTCCTTCACCGTGGATTGTTTTTGAGAATTCTCAAAAGCAATAATTTCTCCTGCATGCCTGCCACGAGCTCTTCCGTCCACCCCTACCCAACCCAGTGTGCATTCCTCACTGCCCGTGTTGCTCTCTCTGTGTGCATTCCTCACTGCCCGTGTTGCTCTCTCTGTGTGCATTCCTCACTGCCCGTGTTGCTCTCTCTGTGTGCATTCCTCACTGCCCGCGTTGCTCTCACTGTGTGCGTTTCGGCAAGTTCAGGAGAAGACAGGCCAGACGGGGATAGAGCAGATCTCCTACGTGTATGGCAACCAGGTGAGGCCCGTGAGGCAACCAGGTGAGGCCCGTGAGGCAACCAGGTGAGGCCCGTGAGGCAACCAGGTGAGGCCCGTGAGGCAACCAGGTGACGCCACAATGCCTATCAATCCAGATGCATGCTCAGAAGTTATTTGCAGGTCAAAGTCAATCTGCATGGCTTGTTTCCATCACTTGTCCTTTAGCGTGGAGGATTTCTCCCCCTTTTTCTTCCCCACTGCACTCATGCTATCTTTTCCCTCTCCCCTCTCCGCCTTCTTTCACCTTGGTGCCATGTCTTCTCTTGGCCTCTCTGCCTCTCTGCCTCTCCCCCTCTCCCCCTCTCTGCCTCGCTGCCTCTCTGCCATCCCAACAGGCGGTGGTGGTGAGCATAGATCCCAAGAGGGTGTACGTGGCCTCGCCAGACGACGTGCCTTTCAAATGCGTCAAGGCATCAACGCCAGGTGCACTGCGTGCCCGCTCTGCTCCCTCTGCTCCTTGTTTGCCACAAGTCTCTGGTTAAAATAGAACGGGCTTGCTGCTCTGCATGTGGTGTATCAAGGTGACTTTTGAGTCGACTCAAAAGTTGCCCGCTCTGCTCCCTCTGCTCCTTGTTTGCCACAAGTCTTTGGTTAGAACGGGCTTGCTGCTCTGCATGTGTTGTATCATCTGAGCCCCGCGACTCACCTCTTCTCACAGATTATCTCATCTCTCTTATGCTCACCTTGCCACTCAACCTTCCTCCTCCTGTGGCTTATGCCTTGTGGCCTCCTGTCTTTCCTTTCCCCCGAAGCAGGCCCTAACGGGGAGGAGTACGCATGGTATCAGTGCACGGTGAGAGGGGAGGAGTGATGCTGTCACGTGTGTGTGTGTGTGCTCGCGCGCGCGCGCGTGCGCGCACATGCAAGCGGGTGCACACGTGCGTGTGTGTCTGTAAGCAAGCACTGGTGCTATGCATTGTTCTGTGTGGGTGCATGTATAGCAAGGGCGCGCATGTGATAGCCATGTGACTGTGGGACAGGGTGATTCTCATTTTCACCGTGCTGTCTTCCCCTCTGACCATTACAACCTCTGCTGCTGCAGGTGAGCGGAGGCAGGGAGGGGCGGCCCATAGGGGCGTGGGAGCTGGCCCAGGCTGTGGAGCAGCTGGGGGCGGGGGAGATTCTGCTCAACTGCATCGACTGCGATGGTGAGTGCCATGGGATGATGAGGCGTGACAGGCATACCCTTTGTGAGGAGGGCTAGGTAGGGTGTTCATGAGGCCGGCACAGGCGGTGGAGCAGCTGCGATGATGATGGTAAGGCATAGGGTGTTCATGTGTCTGACCCAGGCAGTGCCTTGATCTCGACCTGGTGGGGCTGCTGTCCTCAGCAGTGAGCGTCCCTGTGATCGCCAGCAGCTGGACTTCAACTCATTCCCTCCATGCAATTTCTTCTCAGCCCCTTCCCCCTTCTCTTCCCCCTCCCCCCTTCTCTTCCCCCTCCCCTCCCACAGGTCAGGTCAGGCCCAGGGATTCGGCTTGGACCTGGTGGGGCTGCTGTCCTCAGCAGTGCGCATCCCTGTGATCGCCAGCAGAGCAGCAGCGGGGCGGGCATCTCAGAGCACTTCTCTCAGGTCTTTGCTCACACCGGCGCCTTGGCTGCCCCCGTCCCTTGCTTCTCCGTGTCACATCACAGGCCAGGGCCAGGGATTCGACTTGGATCTGGTGGAGTTGGTCTCCTCTGCAGTGAGCATCCCCGTCATCGCCAGCAGCGGGGCGGGCATCCCAGAGCACTTCTCACAGGTCTTTGCGCACACTGGCGCCTCCGCTGCGCTGGCTGCCGGCATCTTCCACCGCAACGAGGTGAGGGGATTCAAGGGAGCTTAGCTGATGCCGTGCCAGCACGGTCAGCTGGAGGAGGGGGTTTATTTGACGGTTTCAACTGAAAGGGCACTGTGTAGGTGTGTCAGCGCTAGCACTGTCAAGGCGCCTCTGCTGCTGTGGCTGCCGGCATCTCTCACCGCAACGAGGTGAGGGTGGGTCTAGTGTGTGTGGTGCATGTGTAGTGCTGCATTTTCCTTATGGAAGGGCTGGCCACCCTGGGAGTGCTCTGGGTGTGTTCTTGATTCTCTGTCCATGCGCCCAACCCGCTTCCAATATGTGTGTGTGTACGCGTCCTTGCGTTTGTGTGCATGCTTGCACGTGTCCGTCTGTGGAGTTGTCCGTCTGTGGAGTTGTCCGTCTGTGGAGTTGTCCGTCTGTGGAGTTGTCCGTCTGTGGGGTTGTCCGTCTGTGGAGTTGTCCGTCTGTGGAGTTGTCCGTCTGTGGAGTTGTCCGTCTGTGGGGTTGTCCGTCTGTGGGGTTGTCCGTTTGTGTGCACGTGTGCCTGTGTGTCTGTGTGCCCATATGTCTGTGTCTCTGCATGTGCACGTGTGTCTCCCACAGGTGACAATAGAGTCGGTGAAGACCCATCTGGCAGAGGAGGGTGTGGAGACTCGCCTGCTGTGAGCCGGCACAGAATCAAGCGGCGCTGCACAGATAGCAGTGGTGTGAGGCGGATAACAGTGCCACAGTGCAGGGGGGAGTGGCACAGGGAGGATAACATGTTGGAACAGTGTGAATGGCATGCAGCTAGAGGGGAGGCTGCTTGGTTGTGAGCTTGGGAGATGTTTGAGAAGCGGAGCAAAGAAGCTGATGGAATGCGCGTGGAATGCCCAAATGGCATTTGTTATTATTAGTCTGTTGATAAGCTCCTACCGTAAAGTGCCGCCTATAGGACCCGGGGGACTCTCTACAAATGCTTAGAAAAATGCTAGGGTGGACATTATGGCGGTTGCAAATTTTTAAGATCCGGGGTACACTTATTTATCAGCTATCATTCTGTTTTTTAGGGTGTACGGCTTAAATTGGGGCGGGGGGTCTTATATTTGTAACGAAATACAGGCTTTCGTGCGCCGATTTTGCGCGAGCGGCGCGTCAGATCTGTGTCAGAATTTGAGTGACACGTGTCAGCATTCGAGTCTGACACAAAAGGCGTGTCAGAACTCGAATTTCTGCCAATATAAACCGACTCACAATAGCAATAACAATTACTGTATACAGAAAAGGGGGGTCTTATGATGGATGGGGGCAAAAGAGGGGTCCTCACAAAACCTGCCACAATAAGAGTCCCCCTACCCATTCAAGAGTCCCCCTACCCATTCAAGAGTCCCGGGGGACCCTCTTACCGGCGGGTCCTATAGGCGGCACTTTACGGTACATGCTGTTCACAACCGAACCATCCATCTATCGTAACTAGCCTTGTAGGGAACGACTCCCTCATGTTCGTCCCGCTGTAGCTACAAGAAGAGCATTGCACTTCTCACTGCCTTCCTGGTCACTGCTAGGAGACTACCGCACGAAATCAACAACTAGGTAGGTGGTACCAAATCAACACCTAGGTGGTACCAAATCAACACCTAGGTGGTACCAAGTGCACTGAAGTAGCATGGTTCCATCCCATGCCATCTAACAACAGAGGCACACCACCAGCTTCCAGCACAAGCAAGGCCAGGCATGCAGCTCACGAGGCAGCTGCCTGTATCCTGGGTTTGTGCCGTCTAACGTGCTGCAAGCTGCTCTGGCTCGCCTGTCCGGCCCTCTCTTCGCGAATTGCTGTTGAGACAACCCGCTGCACATCAGCGAGGGTTAGGGGCTGAACATACGCCCCACCCCCACCACGGCCGCGACCTCCCCTCCATCCACCGCGACCACCAAGGTGGCAGGCTAGTTCGCCTGCGAAAGATGACGCCGGGGGGAGTCACGCCGGCGTCGCGACGACTCCCGCTCCTCCCGTGGTCCGGGAGAGTGAGGGAGCGAGTGACGGCGGTTTGGAGACTGAGGGCGCTGCCGCTGTCCCGCTAGGGCTGCCGGCTGAACTACAGGCGCAGACTGGTCACCTTCCCCCGCCGGTCCTTAAATGGGGCATGGCCGCCAGTGGTGGTGGACACCGCCTTCGGCGACGAGCCAACGGCTGGGGTCGGCTCAGCGAGGACAACGGCGGCAGGCGGTGCAGCAGGTACTGGGGGGACAAAAGCAGCCAGATCAACGGCAGGCGCAGCGGGCGCAAACGCTGGCGGCACAACGGGGAGAGTCGGGGGAGCAGCAGCCAGAGCCGGAGCGGGCGGTGCGGCAACAGGAGCCGCCGGAGCCCCCACTGCCACAGGATTTATATTCGGGAGCACAGACACAGCAGCGGCTAATGTCAAAGTTTTCAGGGCTGGGGGGGCTGGCAGCTTCAACGCGGCAGTCACCGAGACAGCAGGTGCAGCTGGAACAGCAGCAGATGCAGCGGGAGCAATTGCTGGATGTGTTGGAGCATCAGGAGTAGGTACAACAACCGGTAGTGGCTCCGCTTCAGAAGGGACCTGCAGTAGGGGCTGAGGGGCCGCGACGGACGGTGTCTCAGGTCTTGGGCCAGGCCGCAAGGGAGGTTTCGTCGTCGTGGTCGTTGTTGCAGGCGCAGGCACGGGCGTTGATATTTCGCGCGCCACTGACACAACGGCAACGCGCGTTGGCGATGGCTCTGAAGCCCCAGCTATCACTGTCAGAACATTATAGCTTATGCTGTTGTGTAGGCTATAGTGGGGTATCCCATAGGGGGTACAACCAATTAGGGTTTCATATTTGTACTCACTTCATTTTCATAGTTCATTCATACTTGTTCAAATCTCCTCATGGTATCGAGCAGGTTCCCCCTTGGGAACTGTGCTTAGGGCCCACCACATCGATTTTTTTTTTCCTGCCCGAAGCGCGCTCAGCCCGAGTCGCGCTCCGGGCCCTCACTTCGTCGAGCCGCCCTAGCGGCCCTGCACTGCGGCCCCGCCACCCGTCTCCGCGGCCCCGCCGCCCGTCTTAGCGGCCCCGCCGCCTCTCTCCTAGCGGCCCCGCCGCCCTACCTAGCGGCCCCGCTGCCCTACCTCGCGGCCTCGCCGCCCCATTGCGCGGCCCCGCCGCCCTACCCAGCGGCCCCGCCGCCCCATCGCGGCCCCGCCACCCCATCGCGCGGCCCCGCCGCCCTATCTAGCGGCCCCGCCGCCCTACCTAGCGGCCCCGCCGCCCCATCGCGCGGCCCCGCCGCCCCATCGCGCGGCCCCGCCGCCCCATCGCGCGGCCCCGCCGCCCTTCCTCGCGGCCCCGCCACCCCATCGCGCGGCCCCGCCGCCCCATCGCGCGGCCCCGCCGCCCCATCGCGCGGCCCCGCCGCCCTACCTAGCGGCCCCGCCGCCCTTCCTCGCGGCCCCGCCATCTTACCTGCGGCCCCGCCCTTACCTGCGGCCCCGCCGCCCTCTGCTGCGGCCCCGCCACCTTACCTGCGGCCCCGCCACCTTACCTGCGGCCCCGCCACCTTACCTGCGGCCCCGCCACCCTATCTGCGGCCCCGCCACCCTACCCGCGGCCACGCCGCCCTTACCAGCGGCCCCGCCGCCCTTACCTGCGGCCCCGTGCCCTGCAGCAGCACAGCCGAGCCGCCCAGCAGCCGAGCCGCCGAGCCGCCCTGCAGCCGAGCCGCCCAGCAGCCGAGCAGCCGAGCCGCCCAGCAGCCGAGCCGCCCAGCGGCCGCGCCGCCCAGCAGCCGAGCCGCCCAGCAGCCGAGCCGCCCAGCAGCGGAGCCGCCGAGCCGCCGGGCCGCCCAGCAGCTGAGCCGCCGAGCCGCCGCGCCGCCCTCCTTCAGGGCCGCCCGACCTGCCCAGTCTGGTGAGCACAGCGCCTTTTCACTGCACTGTCCTCACCCCACTGTTTGCGCTGCTAGTCGTCTAGGGTCATGGCTACCCCTAGTGTTCTCGCCTTTGACGCTGAGGGTAGGGCCATTGACTTTGAGGTCTGGCTAGATGACCTGCAGCTGTTCTTACAGTGCGATAGGGCAGACGGCCTCTCTCTCTTTGACCTCACCTCTGGCACCTCCACTGCCCCTGCTGCTGATGCTGACGCCACTGTTCGCTCCCAGTGGGCCACGCGCGACGCTGCTGCACGTCTTGCTGTGCGTCGCCACCTCCCTACCTCCGAGCGTGCGCACTTTAGTCAGTACAAGAGTGCTCAGACCTTGTACGACGCTGTAGTTGCGCGCTACTCCTCCCCTGCCACTGCTGCACTGAGCCGTCTCATGCTACCGTACCTCTTTCCTGATCTTACTGCCTTTCCCACAGTCACTGACCTCATTACGCACCTCCGCACTAGTGACACTCGCTACCGCGCTGCACTCCCTCCTGACTTCTGCGCCAGGAACCCCCCCCCCATGTACATCACTCTTTACTACATAGTCACTCGCCTTCCTGACTCCCTTCGCGTAGTCAGGGACCACTTTCTCTCTGTCTGTCCCACCACTCTCACTGTTGACCTCCTCGAGAAGTCCCTCCTAGCGGCCGAGAAGAGCATAGTCGCTGTAGGGGCCTCTCGTGGTGACCCGCGCACCCCCATCTTTGAGGGGTGTTCCCCCTCCCCCCTTCTGCCCTCTGTTGCCTCTGCTGCTGCGGCCGACCTCCTTGTTCTTGAGTCGGTCGGTGCGGCGTCTGCCCCTAGCGGGAGACGCCGCTCTGGCAAGGGCAAGGGGGGCAAGGGCGCTGGAGGAGCGAGCGGGGGCGGTGGAGGTGGAGGTGGCGGCAGTTGGGGGAGTGGGGGTGGCGGTGGGAGTGGAGGTGGGGGTGGAGGGGTCGGTGGCGGCAGTGGAGGTGGAGGTGGCGGCGGCGGTGGCGGTGGGAGCGGAGGTGGTGGAGGTGGCGGAGGTGGAGGCGGCGGCGGAGGCGGAGGCGGCGGCAGTAGCGGAGGCGGCGGAGGCGTCGGAGGCGGCGGGGGTGGCGGTGGTGCTGGTCGCGGGTCTTCGCAGAGGAGTGGCTCCGGTGGTGGCTCGCGCCAGCAGCAGCAGCGTGGTCGTGACACCCTGTCCCCTCAGCAGCTTCGTGAGTGGTACACTGCGCGTCAGCGGGGTGGGGGTTTTGGTCCGTGCTCCTACGTTTTGCGCACTGGCGACCGTGCGGGTGAGCAGTGTGGGGGTCCCCACCCCACCCAGCGCTGCTTTGGCCGCCTGACGGACGCGTGGCGTCACCAGTTCCCGGAGGCCTCCGAGATCCCTCGCTGGGGCGAGCTGTCTAGGGCGGGTGTTGCCATCTATGATCTTGACTTTGATGCTATTCTCTCTGCCATGTATGCTGTGTCTATTAGTGATGAGGGTGACTGTTACCGGTGTTTCCCGCCCGATCCGGGCATTGAGACTGCTGCTCCAGGTCCTGGTGAGGCTGCTGCCCTAGGTGCTTGCGACGCTGCTGCTCTAGGTGCTCGTGTGTCTGCGTCCTCAGGTACTGGTGAGTCTGCGCTCTCAGGTACTGCGTCGGCTTCGGCCTCCCTCACCTTCACCCTTGACTCTGGGGCGTCTCGCTCCTTCTTTCGGGACCGCACCACACTCACACCGCTGAGTCGACCGGTTGCAGTGTCTCTGGCTGACCCCTCTGGGGGTCCTGTCCTGTCTCGCTTCTCCACAGTCCTCCCGTGTCCGGCGGCTCCCTCTGGCACCCTGTCTGGTCTCTACCTCCCCTCGTTCTCTACGAACCTGGTGAGTGGTGCTGACCTACAGGATGCGGGGGTCCACCAGTTCACTCCTGCACGTCAGAGAGTGACCCACTGTACAGAGGCTGGCACAGGCCGACACCTGGCTACGTTCACCCGTCAGCCGGGGTCGAGCCTGTACACTCTGATCACTGCGTCTCCTCCAGTTGCTGAGTCTGGTAGGGTAGTTACGTCGGGTCAGGTGTTTGCTGCGGCGTCCAGGTCTGGTCCTGAGTCTGCCCCCTGTTCGTGTCGTCTCCTGTCTCACGAGACTCTCCTCTGGCACCACCGCCTTGGCCACCCCTCTCTGCTTCGGCTCAGAGGTATGGCCTCCCGTCTTCTTGTGTCCGGTCTCCCCCGGTCCCTCCCTCCCCTTCCTCAGGGCCCTGGCCCTGCCTGTGTCCCCTGTGTCGAGGGGCGCCTGCGTGCTGCCCCTCACTCCTCCCAGTTTCCTCCGACAGAGGCCCCGTTGCAGACACTTCACATGGACGTGTGGGGCCCAGCCCGCGTCCGTGGACAGGGTCACGAGCGCTACTTCCTGCTCGTTGTTGACGACTACTCGCGTTACACCACAGTCTTCCCCTTGCGCAGCAAGGGTGATGTCACTGAGGTGCTGATCGACTGGATCCGCGCAGCTCGTCTCCAGCTCAGGCAGAGCTTCGGCTCGGACTTTCCTGTTCTGCGTCTGCACTCGGACAGAGGCGGAGAGTTCTCCTCTGGCCTTCTGCGTGCCTACTGTCGTGCACGGGGCATCCGTCAGACCTTCACGCTTCCGGACTCACCGCAGCAAAATGGGATTGCTGAGCGCCGCATTGGCATGGTCATGGACGTTGCTCGTACGTCTATGATGCATGCGGCTGCCCCCCATTTTCTGTGGCCGTTTGCGGTGAGGTACGCGGCGCATCAGATCAACCTCCACCCCAGGGTCTCCAGGCCGGAGACCTCCCCAGCCCTGCTGTGGACGGGGAAGGTTGGCGATGCGTCGGCGTTCCGGGTCTGGGGATCTCGGGCGTTTGTCCGCGACCTGTCTGCGGACAAACTATCCCCTCGTGCTGCTCCTTGCGTCTTCCTGGGGTTCCCCCCTGACGCGCCTGGGTGGCAGTTTTACCACCCCACCTCTCGCCGTGTTCTGTCCTCCCAGGACGTCACGTTTGACGAGTCGGTCCCCTACTACCGCCTCTTCCCCTACCGCACTCCGTCCCTCCCCCCACCCCCACTCTTCCTGGTACCAGGTCCCCCCCAGGTAGACCCCCTCCCCCCTCAGGGTCCTGCCCCTTCAGGTGTGTCCCAGGTAGACGCGGTCGAGCCTGTCGAGGTCACTGGTGACTCTGGTGCTGCTGAGGGTGCTGAGGCTGGGGGTGCTGTACCTGGGGGTGCGGAGCCTAGGGGTGCTGGGCCTGGGGGTGCTACGTCTGGGGGTGCTGAGCCTAGGGGTGCTGAGCCTGGGGGTGCTGCACCTAGGGGTGCTGAGCCTGGGGGTGCTGAGCCTAGGGGTGCTGAGCCTGGGGGTGCTGCGCCTAGGGGTGCTACGTCTGGGGGTGCTGAGCCTAGGGGTGCTACGCCTGGCGGTGCTGAGCCTGGAGGTGCTTCGCCTGGAGGTTCTCCGAGTGCTTCGTCTCGCCGGGAGCCACTTTCTCCACAGGAGCTGCGTGAGTGGTTTGCCCGGCGCTGGAGGCGTGCTGCTGGTGCTGGAGGTCCTTCGGCTGCTGAGGGTGCTGCGGTCGCGGGTCCCAGAGGTGCTCGTCCTGGGTGCACTGGAGCTGGTGCTGCTGAGGGAGCTGGCGCTGAGACTCCTGCTGGCAGTCCTACTTGGGGTGCTCCTGGTGCTGCTGGAGGTTCTGGAG